GAGGTGGATGGATGAAAGAGAGGGTGAAAGAGAGGGAGGGAGGCGGGGAGAGAGACGGTTGCAAGAAAATATTTGCCGCACAAGGATCAAATGTCACGGCAGAGTCACGATCGAGAAACATCCAAAGACCTGACTGCCAGAGCCCTTCCTCCCTCTCTCTCCCCCTCCCTCCCTCCTTTTCTATCCTCCAAACACTTGGGCTCAATACTTGGCTTTTCCCTCTCCGTCTATCTCTTGATCACACCTTCTTGTTGGTAGACGCTGCCTTTGAGTGCTGGTCCTTGCCCAGAGACGTGATGGTAGGAGGGAAGGTATCGGTACAAGGGGACCAGGGAGTGACGACGTCCGTCACCACGCCAATGCTAACCCTAATCCTAACCTTACAGCCTAAAAGGTGCATTAATCATTTTGAGGGAGGAGGTGTGGAAAGCAACCGTTTTAACTCTCCGGGAGTAGGTTTTATTACATGCTCGTCTGTTCTTTCGATGTAGGGATCGAGGCAAGCAAGGTGTAAAGCCCTTCCTACACACCGCTCCATGTGCTGGCCATGTCCTCCAGTCGAACATAGTGTGCAGGACGATATGAAAAGCGTTCATTGCTTTCCGAGGACAACGACCAGTTATGATTCTAACGCCCGCTCAGCAAGGCGCCGATCCTACCAAAGCTGATATTCTGCGTCACGATAAAAATCGTTCTCGGCGAGGCCAAGCATGTCAGCAGCGGCCGATCCAAGATCCATCATCATTTTATCAGGTTCCTCTAAATCTTTGGACCGCGTATGGGCAACATGTGTGTTCGGCTGGGTGGAGGCGACGAGTAAATCTGGCCCGTACCTCTCTAGCGCCTTTTCCTTTAGCCGCTGCGAGTCCGACACTAGATACGATACGACCTTGGTCGTTTCCGAGGTCCTCTTAAGGCGCTCGATTGTACGGGTGCAGTCGAAATTTTGCATATAATCTTTGAATAGGACATCATCGGCATGAGAAGCGGTATGCTCGATCCCGGACGCGGATCTGAATGCCGATGCGTAGGATATTCTCAGGCTTGGAAGACGGAGCCTGCCCTTCAGTCATGCTGTCATTCGCGCGGTGTGGAGGGTGCAAACGGCCATTTGCCAGTTGCCATCCCGGGGCGCTCTGCGTAACTTGGTCGAGGGCAAGTAAATCCTAAAAGCATTGGATGGGAGAATGGACACACTCATTACTCAAATTTTTTGTGTCCTATTACGAGTTGTCAAGGAAGTGAGAAAGGGAAGAAAAAAAGAGAGCAAGAGTGAGAGAAACGTGAATAAGAAGGAAGGAACTCAAAGTTATAAATGAAACATTATCAAATAAATCATTCAATGCTTTCGACTGGCCGCTTTTGTCCAACTCCTTTGTCCCCTCCTCGTCTCCTCTCACCTCTCCTTCCTCTTCAAGTACCGGACTTTGAAGTGATGTCAGTGTTGAAGGAACGCACATCTTGTCTCGCGTCCCCTGACTCCTTGCGTCCGACTGAGCAACGAGAATACTTACTGCAGAGGACAGACTGACCATTCCTTTGACGCATGAGATACTTCTAGGAAAAATGGCGGGAAGCGATGAGGCAAGGGAAGAGAGAGTTGATCAACAAAGGTTTTGAGGGACAAGCGAGAGGGAGGGAAAGAAAAGAAAGGGGGGGGGATCACTAGTACCTTTTATAGACCTGTCCTTCCATGTCTTCAACCCCACGGGCCAGCACTTCTTGAGTCTGACGAGGGAGGGCTAAAGAAAGAAAGGAAACGAGGAAAAAGTAAGCAGAATCTGTGGAGGAAAGCAGAACACACGGATGCGAAACAAACTCAATTCTGATAGGGAGAGGGGGGGAGGCACGAGGAAATAAAGGAAGGGTTTTCGAGGGTAATAGAATACAGGGTTCACAGATGTAATATGCACCTGGGCCTCAATAGATGCATACATTCGATGCATATCTCCTCGTTTTTGTGTTTCATCAATCCAAGAGTGGAATAAGCTACGCTGACGAGGTAACCAAAGGCTGAGTGAAAGCTTCTCAATGTCGGAAAGCCCTGCGCTTCTGTTGTTGCACCCTCCTTGCTTTTCTCATTCCTTCCTCAGCCATTCCAGAGCCTTGCGTTGCTTCTCCAACGTCTTCCTCTCCTTATGTTGGCGCCAGTCCCTGTCTGCAGAGATACAAATCCTAAGCGGTTGAGCTGATCCGCGAGACGCAGGACGGCGAGGGCAGAGGCCAGACGCCAGGAACCTGTCGAGCTCGCGTCCCGACCACAAACCCCTTTCCTCCGCCATTGGCCAGCTTCCTCGTCAAATCCCTTTCTCTCACCATCTTTACCCTTGAGCGCCCTTCCGCTCCCTTGTGTATTAAAACGCCTTCCTGCGCTTAGACTTCCTGCACGCGAGCTCTTCAGTTTCCCCCTTTCCTTCCTTTTTATCTCCCTTGATGCCTCTCATCCCACGCCCCTCCCTCTCTCATCTATCCTCACCTCTCCCGGTCGCCTCCTTCTTCCTTTTGGCGTCCTCCCGGTTGCCCGGCAGAGTGGAGGGATCGAAGTAGTGCCTGAGCATGCGCACGTCTCGCTCGCAGGGGGGAGGAAGGCGGGGCTGGAGAAGGAACAGGTGAGTGGCAAGGGAAGGGAGCCGTGCCGGCAGAGAAAGACAACGGTCGCCTCTTGATTCATAAAACGTGATTTTCCCCCTTCTCTGCAAACCGAGTGCATGACAGGA